TCTTGAGTGCTGGGATTACTGGCATGTGCCACCACACCCAGCCTACAGACTTCTAAGACCCTCTGATTTCACCCCTGAAGGACCTTGAGTACCCAGCCACTCACCTGCTCCCATTGGAAGATCAGTGTGACTTGACTGGCATGGTGGCCCAGGCCTGTAATCCCAGCACTCTGGAGGCTGAGGCAGGAGGATCACTGCAAGTCCGAGGCCAGCCTGAACTAATAGCAAGATCCTCAAAGATGTCTCAAACAAAAAAGCAAGATGTCTCAAACAAAAAAGAACTCAAAGGCTGGGAAAGGTGGCACATGCCTATAATCCTAGCACTTTTGGAGGCTGAGGCAGGATGATTTAATGTTGAATCCCAACCTGTACAATTTTAACAACATAGCAAGCTCTATCTCAAAAAACATAAAAATAAAATAAAGGGCTGAGGATTTAGCCCTGTGTTCAATCCCCAGCCTCCCTCTCAAAAAAAAAAAAAATCACAGGTCCACTATGAAATCTTTTTTTGTTTTGTCTTTCTGAGAAGGGTCTCGCTATGCAATTCAGGCTGGCCTTGAGCTCACTTTGTAGCCCAGGCTGGCCTTGAACTCGCAACGATCCTCCTGCCTCAGCCTCCCGAGTGCTGGGATTACAGGCATGCACCACCGTGCCTGGCTTCCACCATGAATATTAAATGTTATTTCCACTGTAACTCACCTGTCACTGGGCCTAGAACATAGTAGGCGTGACTAAGTGTCCTGGGCTCTCTCCTTCTTCACTCTTCCTACAGCTTCAAGCAGGAAGTAATTGCTTTATAATCTCCTTGGACAGAGATCAGGAAAGGCATCTTTCCCACTGCCTGCGTGGGGCCTCTCGGGTCTTGTTTGTCTAGGAGAGGTGGTCATGGGAAACAGAACGGGGAAAGCAAACAGGGTCACCAAGAAGACACCCGCTGAACCCACCAGAAGAGGACAATGGAAAAAAAAGAGGGCCATGAACCAGGAGGCAGCAAAGAGCACAGGGCAGGGGTCTGTGGCGCTGGTGAGGGAGTGGTCAGAGGCCCCAGGACGAGAATTAGACATCCCCCAGACACTGGCAGCTGCCTCACAAAGGTGCAGCAGAGAAGCCTCTGTGGATGCTTCATCATCTTTTGTGTTTATTTTTTGTGCTGGGGATGGAACCCAGGGCCTACACATACCAGGCAAGGCCCTTTAGGGCAGAAGGCTCCAGGCTCTCTGGCTCTAAAGAGAAAAAAGAAGGGAAGAAGGGCAGAGAGAGAAGGCTTCCTGGCAAACACGCAGGCAAATCTGAAGAAACTTGATACTTGACCCCGAAAGTCAATTTGAAAAGAAAATAAATATGCTCTGCAGAGCAAGTTCAGGCCAGCTAAGAGTAGGAGAAGTACGCTTTGCTGGGTAAGAGCCGACCACTGTGAGAGAGCACGCGGCGGCCATGAGCAAAATGGCCGCCATCTCTTTGTACCTCACTCCTCGGACCGACATCAAGTCTAGACCATTCTATGACAAACCTGCTCCAGTTCTGTGAGAAGAATTTAAGATAGCACTCTCTGACTGGTTCTAGGTGCAGGACTTTGGAAAGTGTTCTGCACTTGTGTCCTGCAACTCTGTAATGCCCACCTGCACAGCCAGTTTTCCGTGCCCTAATCTCCTGCCTCACAAGCACACTTTATTTTCAGATTCTTTCACAGATTTTGATAGGAA